AGATCTGAAATCTACGTTACCGAAGAAATGCAGTGTCATTACCAAAATAAATGCCATCCTGTTATATCATAGTTTCTTGTTCAAAATATTTCTGGCAAACTTGCAAAATACCCTAAACTTTTATTTCATCGATAAAAAATGACACAATGACAACATCAAATTTTTAATATTTTTCAACCTCAAATGCTTTATTTTATTGAGAATGGGCGTTTAAACAGAAGTACCGATAATAAATTGGCACTATGTTGCTTTTAATTAAATCAATTTAATCATTTTGAGACACAAACAACTAACAAATTTAGCTTTGACAGAACACAGTATTAAGGCATGAGCAGAAGCGGTTCGGCTTCGAGCAGTAATTACTTATATAGGTTTAATTCACAATGCAATACTAGTAACCGGATGTGTCTACTGGAACAGCACACAATATTTTTTAATCTGACTGTGCTCATGCACCAGCATTTGAATTTCCTGGAAAGGCCATTCCGTGCAATGAATATCCGCCAACATCGGGTTCAAGATACTGCATGTGCATTACCTCTTGAGATTGTCCTATTTATTAAATATACATGATAGACAAATATGTTGGAGTTTGTGAATGATAGAGTATCTTGTACTATCTATGAGCGTTGCTTGGATACGGCGGAGTACAGAGGTGTCACATATCAGTCAGTGTGTAAATATCACATACGTGACTGCCATCAAGCATTCACTAGGTTGCGTAGTTTTAGTTTTATGTGGAAGTACTACATTGAAAGTAAGACTAATCGATACTTAAGTGATTTTCTTTTCTTTTGATAGGGATCTGTTTGGCATATAACACAGGCAACTCAATCAATATAAAGGCTGGGTCTTCATAATTTCTTCAGAAGAAAATGACATCGGTTTTATTAGTAAACGTCTATATAAATCGTAGACAGCTATTCGCATAGACGTTCAACTGAATTGCCACCAGTAGAAAATATATTAAGTCATATTTATTTTTCCAGACGTACTAAACCGGTTTATTCTCCTGCAATTAAGTCTAAGGGCTTATCCAACGACATCTGTATATAAACAAGAGCCTATCTATATAATGCCATGTCAATGTAGCACTGGAGCCTTTGACAATTTTACGACAGAAGAAATAGTTCAGCAATTAGAGCAGAACCTAACAATAGACGCACGTTCCACTTCCGCAAACACACGGAAGTTAACGTCTGATGAAGATGACCGACTGACACCGGTTGCTGTTGGTAGGTTTCTGCTATTGGACTAATTATTTTTTGCTACACTTTCTTTAATAACGTATATGATGTAGTTAGCAAAATACGGTGATTTAATCATAACAAAAAAAATAAAAAGGCATATATACCACACACTTCAACATCATTGCATATATCTCTGACATGTACTTACGAAATCCTAGACGACTAATTAATAAGTAAAATATTTCTTATCATTTGTACATGTAATGTCAAAGTTCACAATTGCTCAGGTATCAGTTAAATGTGCAGAGGGACGGTCAGTAAATATCCAGACTTTTGACTCGTTCTCGAAAACCATTCAACACTTAAAAAAAATCTTTCTACTCTTTTTCAAAATATTCTCCACCTACGTCTACGTACTTTTGCCATCTTCATGGGAGCTTTTGTATTCCCGCTGTGAACCATGACGTAGACCTATGTTTTAGGTACTGTGTAACAGCAGATATCAAAGCCGCCCTGGTCTTATATTTCTTTCCAGCAAGCAATTCTTTCAGTTCTGGAAACAAATAAAAGTCACAGGGGGCAAGGTCTGGGTTATAAGGAGGGTGAGACAACAATTGCCATTTGTAAGAGTTGATTACCTCTACTGTAGCTGCGGCGGTATGGGAGGGGGCGTTATCGTGAAGAAGGAGGACATTTTTCTGTGCTAACCTGGGACGCATTTGCTTCAGCTTTTCTCTGAGATTTTTCAGACTTACTTCAGAATAGTACTTGGCGGTGACAGTTTGACCTTTTGGCATGAAATGAGTAAGTATCATTCCTCGTGAATCCCAAAAGGCAACAAGCATAACTTTCCGAAGGAGACAGCTTAAACTTTTTAGGAGGTGGGGAACCAGGTCGTTTCCACTGCTTTGACTGAGCTTTTGTCTCAGGTTCGGAATAATGAACCCACAACTCATCTCCGGTGATAATGCGGTTCAAAAACTTATCTCCTTCACGATTAAAACGACTTAAATGTTCTTTGCCATTAGTTACTCTGGTTGCCTTTTAATCTGCGGACAGCTGTCTAGGCACCCATCTGGCACTTACCTTGCTCATGCCTTGGTGTTCGTGTAAAATCTTGTGTGCCGATGCTTTACCGATGCTAAACTTGTTGGCTACTTCCTCCAAAGTTACTTGACGATTTTTGTTGACAAAAAGTTTAACATTTGCTACCATTGTTGGGGTCACCGCCTCAGGTGGCCGCCCAGTCCTAGGCCTGTCATAAACACTTGTTCTGCCTTCATAAAACTGAGAAACCCAGTTGTAGAAGGTTGAACGTGATACATATTCATCAGAAAATCTTTTTAAGACTCTGAAAGATGTGGCAGGGCTTTTCACCTTCTGCAACCAGAAACTTTATTACAGAGCGTTGTTCCTCTAACAAAGAGTCCATGATAGACGAAACACCTATAATAGATCAGAGGGCAAAATACTTTGTATACACAACTATCATTAAAAAAATAAACTGACCACGTTATTGGCGAATTAATATAGTTTTCACCAATATTATAATGTGTGTATATAGCTGCACGTGGAAAGAGAGGAGCATGAAAAGTCCGGATATTTTCTGACCGTCCCTCGTAGCGTAAATGTTAGCGTTACACTTAAGTTAGTAATGAAATTTTATGTTAATGAATTCTTTGAATAAATCAATATGATGCTCGCCAGAGGATCGCATAATATTATTTTAGTTAAATAGTAAATATTTGTTTTCTGAGATACCAGTTGTTTCTATCCCTAACAGTTTAATAATGTTAAGGCGTCATAGATTTTTCACGCAGTTTGAATTTTTTTATGGTTGTTTTTTGTTTTTGTTGTTGTTGTTTTAAATTGTTTGCTTTTGATATGACAAGTAAAATATAATAGTCTATTTCAAATATACATATTCGTTACTAATCTGAAAGGGCTTGATTCAAACTTTTATTTTATCGACAAAGGTAACGATAATTTTTACTGAATTAACTGGTGTGTTTTCAATTAGTCATTTTTTAATAAACATTTGAAATGATTTTAGAAATTTATAGAAACATCACATTTTCAAAGCTCCGTATCAGTTTATTATAGTACAGATGTAATTATATTTATTGATGCATTGTTGTCATAAACTTAAAAGAAGATGCTTCATCATAAGAATTATTTCGTAACAACCAATTTTATAACCTTTAAATTAGCTCTAATATTTGAACGGCCTTAAGATGTCAGAGAATTTTGCTTTACATATGCTTCCTCCTACTTCATACATATGAAAGTTTTATTGATTTATTTTTATATAATATAATTACTACCTTTTTTGACGAGTGTATGAATCCGTTATAGAATATTGAATTTATCGTGACATTATAATTGAAATTACTACTAAACAACTGTAAATAATTTTAAAACATTTAAAGTTAGATATTTTTTAGATATACACGAGATAAATATTTTCCTAAATCGGTTAATAAGCATTTAATGACTTCCATGATAATGGAAATAATTGAAATCAATCCTTTTGTGTGGTTTGAGAAAATCCTCTTATTAATTGCTTATTATTATAAAATTTTGTGAATACAATTACTTATGTCAGTTAGTTGAATCAAAGGACTCGGGCAAGAGTAATCTATAATCAACAAAATTAAATGTTCTTTTTTAAATAATAATGCATATCGAAGACAAACGTTCATATGGCGATTTAAAGTTATACATCCTTGTTTTAAAATCACATATGCCTCTTCCCTCTTACCTTTTATGGGTAGTAAGAATACGTAACCATTATGAAATTGTACAGAATCTGTAAGTAATGGTGTGTGTTTATGAATATGGAACCAAATGCATAATTGTCTTCTAATAACAAAGGTTGATGCATAAACTTTCCATTGAATATATACATGATGTAATATGTGACCATTCTCTGTTTTAAAAAGTCTAAAGTGTGAACTTTACCTTTTGGGTAGCGACATGGGTCTTGTCGATATGTGCTTGATATTTATGAAAAGTTATTTTAAAGTTGTTCAATGCAAGAGAAAGTTACAGTGTAGACAAATGTGTGAATATATAAAGATTTTTTGCATACTTTATAAGTTTATATAGAGGGTTCCATTATCTACGAACTCCGAGTGTGATCTCTACTTTTGAGGTAGAGACACACGTTTTCATCGCAGCACATAATTTTGTGCACAGAACATTAATTTTGTGCCAGATTATTTTATAATATCCTTCAATGCATAAAAAAGTTACAGTCCGAATATGAATGTGTAATTTCCACCTTTATGTGTGGGTAATGACATGTCGACGTGTTTCTTTGAAGTTGACCTGGAGATGATTAACATCGTCACATTATTATTAAAATTTCTGCCAAGTAGTTTTAATTACCTCCCTCTAGATCGAAAGATACAAAGCGGACACGAAAATATCAAATAATTCAAAATGCGACATTGACACGAAGAAGAACAAACATACGCTCCGCTCTGCATATTGTCTCATAATGGTGAATATTTCTGGCAAGTAGTTACAGTTTCCTTTCACCGGTTATATAGATACAGACCGGACACAAAACCTACTAACAGACCGGGTAAAGGACGACCAGGCGCATAATACGGGCATATAAAAAAGGTAAAGTCACAGGTATTCTGTATCATTGTCATTTATTATTATAGCCCAGAAATGACTCGTTTCACATCATGGCATTTAAGCTGCCGAACAGTCGAAGAAGGTTGTTAACCACGATGTACTTAGTATTTTTCGGTATGTTTTTAGCTTAAACTTATTTCAATGTAATTCAAATTAAAGTAATTATTCTACAACATTTTGCTTGAAATATTTCTGAAATATTAAAACACATATTTTGAGTTCTAGATAATTGTTTACGGATGACAAGGACTTAAAACAAGACACAGCATCAGTCACGAGACTGTTTACAATAATGATATCGTCAACATTTGGATGGTCAGCGCAACAGATTTCTTCGACCGACAGGAGCATTCTCTCAATCCCGAGTAGGAAATGTTCGCATGGAATTGGAAAATCCTTGCTGTCCATTATGTTATGTTTTTTGATAAAGATACTAGGAATATGTAATTTGAATTTTTCACCGCGCATTAAAAGGTGAACCAAACGACTTACTTCAATTTTCTCCCCAGTTGTCCTGTTGAATAGATAGTGAAGACATACTGCAACAAGCTGTTTGAAACAGACTGCAAGGTTTGCTGTTTCTTCACAGTGATAACCATGCTTCAGTACAAGTGTTTTCAAAACGTACGAGGATAAGAAGTTTACACTTCCGCCACTATTGAAAATATACTTTAATAGTTTATAACAGTCATTGTGATGAGTATCTAGACAACAGACAAGATTAACTTCTGTCTCTGTAAAGGTCAGTCGGAAACAAAGTGGACACGATGGTCCATGGTCGTGAGTCAAAACTAGCATAAACTTACCATGCTCAACAGTTTTGTTGAGAATATCTGTATGGAACGTGTCGTTTTCATTAATTATATCGTCGTTTAAGTCAAATTCAATTGCTGGGGTAATGTCCACTTTGATCGTTGTTTTACTTTTCTGAAGATTATAAGGCTCCCAGAGAAAGTGCTGAGTAAATGCCGGTCCGTTCTTTTGGACGCGTTTACCAATACGCATTAATCCTGTTCTTTTTGGGAGAACGCCAACGTCTGAAACACTTTGCGATATTTGTGCCACTTCGTACATCAAGGCATTGCCTAGGGTGTCAAAATCTCCTGGGAACATATCTGCAAATCCGTTTGTTGTAAAAAAGGCTTGCAGATAATCCCCTCGGAGCCATTTGAACCATTTCTTTTTTAAATCAGGATCTGTTACTTTTATATGGGCATAGCCTCTATCTTGTTTACATACTCTCTCAATCTGCATTCCTTTCTGTTTATGAATAGCAAGGTAGTCGAATTCGTCAGGAAATACAATACTTGTACTTTCTGCCATACTACCAACTTTTAGAAGTCTTGAGAATGGAAGCCAATCCACTTTTGATGTCACGTACGTTATAATGTTAGAAACAAGTGTTTCTACAGCATCTATTATGTCAACTGTCTCTTCTTCAGATATCTGGAAATTAATGCGCTCCTTTAGTAGATCACGGAAATAATAGGTCAGTTTACAATTCTTTTCTTCTTCTATAACGTCACTCTCTTTATATTCCGCCATCGTTTATCAATACAGAGTGTTATTTAAGAGAAAGGTTTTGTTTTAACTTAAATGCATCATCCAGTCAGTCTGTTTTGACCTGAAAATGTTTAAAAAAAATATTTTAAAATTATATACAAATACTTGTTTGATAAACAAAATGTTTGAAAATGTATACAAATACTTGGTTTAAATGTACATAGATAAATATGTTGACAATTTCTCAAGTCTCTGCCTACATTGTCACCAATGTAAATAAAGATCAGGGCATTATGCCAAGTGTGAATGTTACAGTTAAAATAACTTTACAATTTGTCATTATTATTTTCAATTTTATGTCCAATGAAAATGTCGTTAACTAATGAGTCTTGAGAAGATTTCTATAAATATCATTAATTTCATATTTATCTGTAACATTCACTTGATAAAAAGACAAGGACAGTCTTTTCACACTTTATTCTAAATATATAGCACATTCAGTTCACGTTGACATTGGAAAGCATATTATTACTTTTACATTGTCGCCCTCTAAGATGAAAATGATAGACTCTAAATGATAAATAAAGAATAAAAAATCTAGAAAATATATTTGTTTAATATATATGTATATGTATTTAATCAATTACTTTGTAGGTAGACTTTTAACTATGTAAGTCCATGGTCCATGGTATGTATAACAAGTTTGAAGTAACATAAGAGATAGTTACGTACATTTGTGGATAATTTTCAAGTATGTGTCATCTTTCATTTTGTGTAAACAATTGTTATAGATATGAATAAGTTAGAATGAGGAGTACTATCTTGCTGTTTAGCTCATGACATTTAAATCAAAACCATTGTCAGAAATTGGTTGGATTTATGACCATTCGTTTGACCTGATAAATAATGCATTTTATATAGACAATACATTTATAAATCTTTTTTACCCGCATTAGCTTAAAAGATCATAACGATTTATTTTTTCATTTCAATATGAAAGAACGTCAGATTAGTCTAGAAAAGGACATACTTTTTTAAATTTATGATGCCCACAAATAGTTAGGAATGTCAAATAATGAATTTTGAAATGGCTTCTCGAAAGAAACATTATGCATGGAAACTTCAAACTGGTACATGTAAACACATGTTAATGAAGTTAATAAATAGTTTTATTATGGAAGCATCCCTACACGTTTTCAATATTAACTGACTTTTTTGTGATGGAAAGGAGATTGTTTTCTTTGAAATATTATTCATAATGCGGCTGCAGAGCTTGTCTTTGGGGTCAGACAGACCGTATGCAAAATATATAAAACAGTTTACATCAGTTATGCAATAAATAAAGGTAGAAACGTTTTATGTGAATATTGCAAATCACTTGATTTGTAATTTAAACGTACCCTTATGTTTAATTGAAGCTACGGCAGCAAGAAACTCAATTGATAGTCCAGTATCACGCACAAATAAGTTTTTGTTAACATAGCACACACATAGTAACAAGAAGGGTTGACAAAAATGCAACACCTTTACTGAAAAAAAAACAAAAAAAAAACAACACACACACACACACAAAAGAGAAAAACAAATTATGATGCTAGGAGTTTTAAAGTGTTCTAATTAGTCTATATACAAGAAGAGAAGGGACACAAGTGGAAAATGTAATGGAACATTGCAGGTTACGGAACAATAGATTTCCAAGTTACTTAAAAAAATACCAGTAATTGCTACGTCTTAGTTTTTATTTATATATCTTTTCATGTGTATTGAAAATGAAACAGGTTAAATTATTTTCAGTACTTACATGAGTTATCATAAGATTTATCCAGAACATTGAATCTCAGTTGATATAATATCATAATAATATAATATCGTAAGTTATATCCAAACGTTTTCATAAAAAATGTAACCGATATGGTTAAATTGTGAAGATATATTATCAATAACATTTAAATCATCACCTTATCTACACAATAATCTTAAAACATAATTTGTTAAGTATTTGAATAACATCTTAAACAAATAAACGAAGACATGTTCGAATATTTGAAACTATACTGTATATATGAGGGTCATTCATTATGTTCCCGGACTGGGTCGATATCTTTGAAAAAGTCACTCTAATCTAAAGAATTACATACATTTGTGTGTTTTAACATATTTTTGATTTTCGATAAAATCTTTAAATGTGAGAGAAAAAAACTTTTTTTTCCAAGTTAACATTACTTTGGCAATATCTCATTACAAACGCTAAGGACTAATTTTATCTCACCAGTTGCTATTTGTTTTCGAATGTGTGCCGCCAAAACGTCACAATACAATATCTGACAACTGAACGAGGTATATAAAATGTGTCGCTGCACAATAATGAACAGGCTAGATATTTAAGATGGAGTAGATCGCTCCTCTTGAAAATACCTGTTTATACGAAGTTTTTGTTATTTATACACATTTTCATGTAATTTAATACAATTTTGTGAATGTATCAAAAACTCCTACTGCTCGTGCGTGCTCAGTTTTTTATATTTTGATTTTTTAACATATTTTACATGTTATATGACTATGCGACTGTTTTTTTGTTGTTTTTTTTATAAATAAAATAAAAAAAAAATTAATTCTTGCAAAACTACATGTTAAGGATTCACAGATAAACAATTATTTCGCTATATTTAACAGTATATCCTTCTTACAAACATAAACATAAATACAAAACTAAAAACTCAAAAGTAAAAAAGAGTTAAATTAAATTTTGAAATAGAAAGGAAGATATTGAGGTGAAAGCAAAACTACTATCTTGGGACACTACCTGGCCTTGAAGGTAAAACCTATATCTTAAATATATGTGACTTAAAAAAATTATTTTTGGCATTTCATTCAAGTCGGACAAAGTAAACAAATAGCTTAACTGAAAAAATGCATTATATCACGTGTTCCGACTTTTTTCAAAATGATAATTAACCTTGATTTAAAATGTTATAAAATTATATAGAAATGTTATATATTATAAAAAGGTTTTTATTTGGACGATTTCAACAACAATTAAATTGACTTTTTTATTTGCTAATATATATATTTCCACATTTTTTACAACAATAATCTCAATGTTAGGTCCGTGATCGTAAGGGGGAATTCTTAAACAATCGTCTTTTCCATGCCTTTTTTGGAGCAATTTTGCCACAAAGCTATAAAAATCTGGAAACAAAGTGATCCCTAGGAAGTATTAATCACAACAAAATTACAAGAGCATTGCAGACTCGGTTTGATTGAGTCTGTACATGAGGGATAATGAATACGTGCAACAGGGATCGTTTGTGTTTCTGTTAAAAGCTATTTTATATGATTTTCTTGTTTTTACCGTAAACTAATTCGGAATAGTTTGTCTATTAATTTCTACTACACTTCTATGTAGGACAAGGCTCTTCCGGTCAATTTTTTCATAGCATCGGACCGCGTCGTAAAAAGGTTAATACAAGTTTATTCCCTTATATAGTTAATGGAACAATTAATAATCATATTTGTAGAAGAAAATCATTGCTAATATCACATAATACGAACATCTTGCTCGAGATCATAATTACACTTTGTAAAATGCCGAGTAAAAACACAATGAAGAACCTATGAGGAACCTGGAGATACGTTTTGTGTTATGATTTATGAGTTTTGACTAACAACATATGAATTATTATTTGTAGTTTATGACTTAGAAATAGTCACTGTTATTTCATCATGGATGGTGGCTATGAGATAGAAAAGGTTAATTCACTAACGATTTCGATGTTTCAGAAAATGTAGGTATTTTTATTATTTTTTTTCATTATTGGAACGTCGGTGGTTCTACTCAAGGGAACCAGATGTATTATGCCACCAGTTAAACTCGAAATAAAAAACAACAACAAAATTGGTAAATGGGAGGACATCATGCATTGTTAGATGCATCAATATCGTCCTCTCAAGCTTAAGTTCCCATGATGAAATTCATATTGCTAGTGACATAATGGCTAGAAGTGTACAGTTTATGCCTGTGATAGGGAGTTAAAGAGGCATTTTGGAATTGAAATATATCAGTGAATTTGCTTCCATATCTTCAAATTTTGTAAACTTGTATTATCTTATCTTGCACCTATGTACATATATGCCTAGAATATTGATAGACTAAATGATCTAAATAACAAGATATCTCGCATCTAAATATATTCTATAACATCACGTAACTACAAAAACACTAACATTTTCATTTGTAAATGTAAATGGCCTACCGTAAATATCATCTAAATAATTTTAGGGTGGAATTTACCGTGGCAGCTTACGTAGAAAAGTACTTCTTAGATTTAAAGTATTCGTTTTTTTTTCAACAGACTTTCACTAATCTAGATATTATTTCTTGTTAAGATAAGATATGTACTGATATGTACTGAAAATATAACAATGAGGAGCTCATTTTCCATTAATAAGTTTCGTAAAATACAAGGTATTATTCACGCATATGTATTTTAACGTCGATAATCACTGAACATTTTAATGTCAGACTCCCATGCCATTCCATAACAAAATCGACGTATAGTTTTTAATAATCCTTAAGTCCCAAAGCTTCTCGTAACAATTTCAATACAAAGCAAGACAAAAAATTTCTTTGTCAAGATAAAAATCACTATTATTGAATTTAAGCCAGAAATAAAAAGGAACTCAGCACGATAACTAAGAAGAATGTGACACAAAAATATTTCACTACCGTTATTCAAATACAGTAAATAGAGAGCTGTTACGTTATACAATTTTGTTGTTTTTTTTATATTGGTTTGATATCTTTTTTCATTTCCTACTGTTTATGTTGTTTAAGTATTAAAACTATATTGTTTTTCTTTTATTTACAAATGATACAAGTTTGTAAAATCATGTCATCAAACATGTTAATAATATATAAGTGTATAAAGATTATATAAAGCCTTTGCTGCCAAACATAAACCATTGTTACGATGTAGCAACTTGGAGGTACTCAGTAAATATATTCATTTATCAAACGAACTTTAAATTCAAAATGTAATTTCTAACACTCATGCTTAATCATGTAAATCACAGTCTAATTTTAAACCAGAAAATCACAATATTTATAAAATTCGTCTTTACTTGTCGTAAATACGTGTGTTTTATTACAACTTCTATAGATTGCTTCATAACAGATACCCAAAATGCAGACATGTTATTATGACTTTATTTTCGGTCTATCCACAACTTTATTGCAACACTGACACTTTAGAATTTATAATTTGTATGAATACGTCATTCAAAGTTTGTTCAAGTGTGTAAAGCGAAAGAAAATCAATAGCAAAAAGCAACCTTTTGTGATACATAGTACATAGTTATTAATAAATAATGATTTGAACCACAAGTACATCAATGCTACTGACCCAATTAATGTACATTCTTATGTTCATTTATCATTAAGATTGAAACAAAAAAAAGAAATGCACAAAATCAAGTCTAAAATTTCCCCATTGCTTTACGGACAAATGCATATCTACTATACGGCACGTACACGCGCCGTCTAATAATTTCCTGTCAAAAGCATTGCCGTTGTTTCGTTTTGTCGATATTACTGAGTTTTGAAATAAAATATTATGTTTGTATGATCACACGGTGCCCATACATAAATTGTAAGGAAATATGTTTTTTTAAATTGATTATATTAGTGAAAATCTGGAGCCCTCCGCCCCGCCTCTTTTGTTTTACTAATGTATATGATAAAAGAAAGTAATTATAAAGCATGTTTCCTTTTTTAAAGAAACATGTCAGAAAAGATTAATTGCCTCAAAAAACTTGAGAACCATTATAATAACAAGGTTGACCCAGACTTGTAAATGACCCTTTTGTGAGTGGGTAGGCTTTTTGACAATGACCTTAAATGAGATTTGGTAAAAACGAATTAATATTTCGCAATTACAAATTTATATTTCGTAAAAACGAATTATTATTTCGTAAAAACGGATTAATATTTCGTAAAAACGAATTAATATTTCGTTAAAACGAATTAATATTTTGTAAAAACGAATTAATATTTCGCAAAAACAATTATTATTTCGTATAAAACGAATTAATATTTCGTAATCACGAATTAATATTTCGTCAAAAACAAATTAAATGCAGGAAAAAATTGTCGAAAATGTCACCTTACACTACTGCTCTTGCTAAAACTCTCTTACGCTATATTCATACTTGAATACTCTGTATGCAGCATTTTTTCAGCTTCATTTTATGTGGAGACAAACGCAAATAAAAACATCAGTGTCTTATACTTTTGAAATAAAACTTGAAATGTTCGGTCATTTACTAAGAAAAGCAAATAAAAAAGAAATGATTTGCCAATATTTGCTTTTCTGTAAAGCAACCTTTCCTGCCAAATATTACAATTTTTGTTTTTGTATTCTGTTAAATTCTAAAAAAAACATATTATTAAACATAAGATAAAGGGACTGGTCAGCAAGTGTGAAATATGTGCAATATGTGGGTGATAAATGGTTGAAAAGTAGACTGTCCTTGAAAAAATAATTCATCACAGTCTGAGGGTGCCGTTAATAACCTCTAAGACAAAATGAATGACCTTGGTACTACACTTTTGCGAGGACAAAAGCACGAGCGAGGACTTCTTAACGGACGAGTTTGTACATAGGTATGTGCAAAATCTACTTTACGGACGTGTTCGTACAATGATTACTGCTCGAGCGATGACTATTGCGTTTGCAAGGACAACTGCATAAGCATGCGCGACATCTAGGGTATAATCGAGAATGTATGAATTAGCCAACACTTATTTACAAGCGAAACTTATTGAACGAGAAGAGACTTCAAGAACGAGGATAGCT